AATGTCACAATGCCTGCTTTATTATATAAAGGTTAAATCATTTGGCATGTCAAAAGCTTACCCTTAGTTCTGATGGGGTCTTTCTTCTTATAGATTTTCCAGCCTTTTGAGCCCCTCCGCCAATATCACGAGAAGGTAAAGAACTTGGAGCAACAACTTTTGCCATACTTGACTGTTAAATATTAATCCACAGCTTCTCCGGTGATAATGAGTGGTAGCATACTACAGGCTACAGCTGATCACATCATCATGTCATTGAAAGATGGTAGCCGTAAAACCTGCGCTTTAAAGAAGTTATTTCTCTTATATGCATAATCCAACAAACTAAATTTGATGAAGTTCCAACAACTCTCCCGTTGTAAGATGTCCTTGAAAGATTAGAAACAAAGAAGTACCCGTTCAGAAACTCTTTCGAAATACAAAGACAAACTAAAATACCCAGTCGGAAACTCAATCAAGTAAAACCAATCATACTTGTATAGAACCTATTCAGTGGTTAAAATTTCAATTGCAACAAATTTTATCTCAACGAAGAGAAAAAGAAACGCGTAACAACATCACAAAGTAACAAATCTTCAGGCCCACAAATTACCGAATACAGATACTGTAATCTAGAATTCTACAATGATGAAAAAATAGCAAAATTCAAATGGATACGAAATCAACGATATTGAACACTTCAACAGGAAACGCCAGTAGACAAATCAACCATGGGATAAACGAATTTGTAAAGAGATCCCAGTGAAAATACCTTCAAAATGAAGCTCGATGAAGGGGGGGAGAGAGAGAGAAAGAGAGGGAAAGTGGGAGGGAGAGAAAAAGAGCGTGTGAAGGAGAAGAGGTAAGGAGAAGAGGAGTGATATTGAGGGAGGGAGTTTTCATTTCTTTCAAAAATTTCGTTTTGGTGAAGCGCTTTAAATTGGGGAGGGGGGGAGGAAGGGACATTAGAACAATTTCTATCCTAAAATTTGTCTCGTAATGGTTTGCTTCAGCAATTCTAAAAAACAAATTTCATACGAGAAAGAAGAGACTAAAACTCTAAGAATTGTATTTGTAAAGGCACACATAAGCACCTCCTTCCATGATTATTTAAAATGTAATGTACTGACTAATGTTGGCAAGTCGTCGATGATCCTAATTTAAAAAATAGCACTTCTGACCACTTAAATAAGTCATGGAGAAGCTCAAAAAGAAGTGTATCAGATTCTTCTCCTTCTCCTTCTCCTTCTCCTCCCTATTTCCCCATTATCTGACACTGTACCAGATTTCAAATGTTGCAGACTTTTCAAACGAACCCAAAAACTAAAAAAGAAATAAGGAAAAGTCAAGAAATGTCCCGAATGCTCAAATGCCTCCATCCATTATAATAAAGAAACCCCACATTGAAGATCAAAAAACAGAGCAGAAAGAAAGTAGAAATTAATGGAATTACCAAACACAACGGTGATACCCGATACTGTCCCATTATTTGAATGAAGAAGCCAAAAAAATCATAAAGGGAAGCAAATATTATAAAAGAAGAAGATGAAGCTTTAGAACTAACCACTCCAAAAAATCATAAAGGGAAGCAAATATTATAAAAGAAGAAGATGAAGCTTTAGAACTAACCACTCCCAATTAAGAGGACAGAGATGCGAGAGGAAACCAAGAAGTAACCAATAATATTGGATGAAGGAGAAGGGTAAATTAGGAATCGCAAAATACGAAAGTTATAGAGGAAAATGAGGAATACGTTATGGCCGGGGTCCTTATTCCTCCTAAAGCTGTTATTTATTGTATTGACTGGTAATGAGTTTCCTCCTTAAGCTTAAAACAGTGGAAGAAAAACGATGAACAGGAATTGAAGAAATCTCCAAAGACAAAGACATTCGAGTTTCGAAACCGATTCAATTCAAAGATTCACAACTCAATTATCAAAATATCACTAACAAATCCGGCCCTAATCAGAAAAAAAAAAGTTTCGAACATCGCTGCAATGATGAACTCGCGAAATCCTTAACCCAAAAATGCAATTACAACAAGAAATACAGGAAACGGCTGAACAGATTGAACATGAACTCACCTGAATGTGGAAGAAAACTCAGCAAATATCATAGATTATTCTTGGGAGAGAAATTTTCGAGGGTTTCATAGTCAAGGAGCTCTGAGTTTCCAGGGCTTGTCGTGCTCAATGTCTAATTTTAAAAAAGTTTTAGAAAGCTCTTTTTTTTTTCTTTCCAAAATTTCTATAAATTTCTAAGAATGTTTTTAGAAATTCATGTATTAATTGTCAAACACCGGGAAAATATAAAGGAGTTCTATTGTGCCATACTATTATTATTCAAATAAAAATATTTTTTTTATGTGAGTACGAACAATTCTAATTTATTTATCTCTTTATTAGTTACATCTTCACTCATTTCTCTCCTCTTCTATTTTTTATTTTCACTGCTATTTTTTTTGTACTTTTGTATTTTGTATTTTTTATACTTTTTTATTTTCTTCTTTTTATACTTGTTATTTTAATTTGAGGTTAAATTTATTCTATACTATTATCTTTTCCTTTGTTCTTCTGGTTACTGTACTAATTAATTATAATTGAAAATTTTTAAATAAAATTGTTAAATTTTTTTATTTTATTTTAAGATTTATTTCTAAACCAAAAAAATAAATAAAAATATATTACTTATAATAATTATACTAATGAATGAAAATTAAATTTTTTTCAAATTATTTTAAGTAATTTGTTTTAATAAAAAGTGATTGTCTAACAATAATTAATTATTTAAAATTAGTTAATGGAAATTAATTGTTCAAAGTAGATTCTAATATCATTCCAAACACATGTATGTTTCATTCTATGCATCTTATTTCCAGGACAAGTATTCGTCTCTTTGAGAAAATGAATACTCTAATATGCTTCCTTGAGTTACCAAAGTCTTTGTACATAGTATTAAACTTTAACTACACGCTCTATTTTCTTATACAAAGGAATTAGAAAATAGTAAATAATAAAAAACCTCATTGCTTTAGTCCTGACCTCCAATTGAGTTTTTAAAATTTATGTTGTGTTTATATTTTAAACTTTATATTTTCTTTTCCAAAATTTGAAGTAAAATTCATTTTGTCTGTTTCCTATTCATTTATTTATTTAAAAACAACCAAATAATTTTGTTAACAAAAAACGACAATATATGTTAAACTGTAAGTTCATCCGTGAACTTTTAGAACTATATCTATTTAATCCACAATATCAGAAAAATTTATAAAATATCTTCAACCTTTGAAAGAGTGTTTATTTATTATTTTAACTTTTCTTTCTATACAATTTTTGTACTTTTACAAGTTTCTAGTTATTGCCTATAATAAGTTCATGGAGTTGTACTAAAAAAAAAGTTTTCATGAAGTTATCTAAGTTGATTTTATAGTGTGACGTGTGATTTCATACCTGTATTTCAGTTGTTGCAGCAGTTTGAGTCCATAAAGATATTTTCTGAGTTTGCACACATGATTAGATTGAGCGTCAACAAAATCTTGTGGCTGCACCATATAGACATCTTCTTCCAAATAGCCATTGAGAAAGACGATATTAATGTCCAATTGCCAAAAAACCCAATCATTGGCAATTGCTATGGTCGATATAATTCTCATAGTTGAAGACTTCACCACAGGACTGAAAGTTTCTTTGAAATTCCTTTGCAACTAATCTAGCTTTGTATTTTTGAATGCTTCCATCTGGATTCTCCTTAACTTTGAATACCCATTTACATCCAACTAAATTGTACTAAGAAGAATAAGGTATGAGAGTCCAAGTTTTATTCTTCATCGAAGCATCCATTTAAGTTTCTATTGCTTGTTTCCAATCTTTTGACTTTAGATCTTCGGTAGCATTGATAGGTTCCTGAGCAACTATCACTGCATTTGTCACATGAGTAGCAACATAATTCTGTATTTTTGGTTTAAAAATTCCACTTTTGGACCTAGTTTGCAAATGATGTGTAGGTTGAATAATTTGGCTAGAATTTATATCAGCAGGTACATTGGGTAAATCAGAATTGATTTGATCACTCACAAGTTGTACTGAATTTGACAACAAAAAATGAAAAATGAGGTGCTGCAGTGTCTTAGTTCTCTGGACTGGCTGTACCTCTTTGGTTTGCATCAGTTGAGATGTGGACTTGATTAGAAGCTGGTGGTGGAGATTGAACACAAGGAAGATTGAGCCATGTAATTATTGTCTCATTTGAATGCTGCTTGGACACAAAGAAGGGAGAAAACCAGCTTTGAAGGGAAATTCATCCTCATTGGAGACCACATGTCTAGAAATATAAAGTCTTCAATTGGAACTAAGATATTTATAGCCCCCACCAGGCAGGCGGCCACGGGTCTAGAAATATAAAGTCTTCAATATGGGTTTGATAGGATCGTAAGCACGGAAAACAAGCACTGCCAAAGACTTTGAGAAATGGAAATGAATAATCTGGCTTTTTGTTAAAAGCTTTATCCCATGGTGATATGTTTTGTAAGAATGGAGTTGGGAGCCTATTTATCAAATAAATGGCACAAAGAAAAGCATCCCACCAAAATTTTAAAGGCATTGAAGCTTGTGCTAGAAGAGTAAGTCCTATTTCTACTATGTGCCTATGTTTTCTCTCTACTATCCCATTTTGTTCACTAGTATGAGGACAAAGATGTCTAAATTCAATTCCATTTTGCTTTAGATAAATAACAAAAGGCCTAAATTCTCCTCTCCAATCACTTTGAAGACTTTTGATTTAGTCGTCAAATTTATTTTCTACAAGTTTCTAATATTGAATGAAGATTGATCGAGCTTCACCTTTGTGTTTTAGAGGGAATATGTAAGTAAACCTAGAAAAATTATCAACAAAACTAATGTAGTATCGAAAACCGGTTGTTGAACTAATAGGTGAAGGTCCCCAAAGATCACAATGAACAAGTTCTAAGAGTTTACTAGCAAGAGAGGTAGATAGTTTAAAAGGTAAAACATGAGACTTTCCATATTGACATGAATCACAAAAGCTAGTTTTTTCATTATCAGCAGCATTCACATTACAACTTTTTAAAATTGAAGTAAGGATTTTGTTAGATGAGTGCCCTAACCTACGATGCCAAACATCCAACGACACTTTACAAGGAGAAAAAACACAATTAACAACAAAGGAAGATTTAGGCCTATTTCTAGAATTCAAAGACAACTTGCTGTTGAATGACTGAACTGAACAGGAGATTTGTTTCTGCTGTAACAGGTGACATTCTTGGCTGATTTGAAGAGCCAACTTCATTTGGTACAGCCCATCCTTAAGAACTCCGCGCAGCACCACTTTCTTTGTTTCCTTGTCCTTCACAACACAATAAGTTGGATGAAATTCAACAAAGCAATTATTGTCAGCGGTAAGTTTAACAACACTCAAAAGATTTCTTTTAATTTTAGGAACCTGAAGAATATTTTTAAGATGGAGTTTATGAGAAAACAATAGGTTTGGTTTGCAAACTAGTATGTCCAACATGTGAAATTTCTAACCTATTTCCGCTGCCAACAACTAAAGTACCTTTACCCGTAAAATCAAATTTGACACTAAGATTTCCCAAATATGAGGTTACATGATTTGTTACTCCACTAACGGTCAACCAACTAGGGTTAGCAACAATTTCAGGAGTGGCTATGTAAGCTGAGTTCTAACTGCTATTCGAATGACTAGATGAGTTAGTGAACGTCTCATCAAACCTTCGGTAGCACACAGCAGCAGAATGGCCATATTTGCCACATAGTTGACAGACTGGTTTAGAATTGCTTCCTTTGTAAGGGCTATACCTGCCACGACCTCTTCCTCTATCACTGTTTCTGGTGTCATTTGAAGAATAATTACCTCTTCCTTGTCCTCCTTTTGATGAATTATGAGCAGATTGTTTGTTTCCAACAGAGTTTTGCTTTTGTTATCAATATGCATAATTAACAGTAGCATCAGTAGAAGTAGGAGAAACTACATTAAGTCTCACCAAAGTGTTTTCAAAAGCAACTAAGGTAGCAAACAACTCTTGCATATTGTAGACTCCTTCCCCTCAATTTGATAAACTATTGGGAGATATTCAACCTCTAGACCTGAAAGCACAAAAGACATTAAGTAACTTAGAGTTAGAGTGACTGGTTCACCAACCAACTTCAAACTTTCAACTTTCAGAAGTCTGCTTCATAAGACCAAGGTATTCAAACATCTTTAAGAAGCCTTTTCTAGTGTTCTGCAGCACATTCCTCAATTGATTTATGCGAGCCTTGCTTGTTGGTCCATAAAGTTCTTCGAGCGCCTTCCAAACTTCTCTTGAGCTCCTAAGTTCTACAACATCACAAGCAACAGATGGTGTCATTGAACCAAATAACCAACCAAGCAAAGCTTGATCAACAGCTTGCCACTCCTCATATTGTGGGTTTTGTTGAAGCTCTGAAGTTCCTTCAGTTTCTGTGGGTAATAGAAATCGTGGTGGTTTTGCAATTGTGCTCAGTACATAACCATCCACTTTCTGTCCCTTCGACACGACCAGGACCATACCTCTCCATAGAGAATAATTTTTGTCAACCAACTTGACTGTAAGAACAGTTCCCAAAGGATGACCAAAAGAGGAGTTTAGTTGAGAAGAATTAACCAAAGCAGGGGAAGCGTTTGTAGTGATTTGTGGAAGAGAAGAAGAATTTTCTGTTTCTTCGGAAGCCATGAGAGCGTTAGCACTTAGAGCTCTGATACCAAGTTAGAATTTCAGAATACCTTTCAAAAACTTTATTGAAGAACAGCAACCAGAGTTTTTAAACAAAGCCAAGCAAGACTGATTATAAAGAGGAGAAGAGTCACAACCCACGATGGCCTCAACCCAAAGAATAAGAAAAAACTGAAAAATAACAATACCTATTACTTTGACAAGTACACCACTATTTTAACAAGTACAAAGCAGTATTGGGAAGTTGAGAAGCTGAGCACCCTTAATGGAACGACGTTGTCAACTGTGTATATTCTCTAATTGATGTAGAATCGAACCTAAAATCGTCGAGGTCGACACCCTTTCTCCCACACATGTTGTTCTTGATTGATTCCACCCTTTTACTCCCCACAGCTTACTCCCTTACTAACTAACAAAATTCTCAAGCTAAAGTCACCTAGCTTAGAAACGAAACAACGAGTAATGGACGCTCCCCCAACATTCAAGTGTTATCGAATCAAAGTTCAGTAACTCTTAAGGTAGCGTAAAAAGGTTTTGATATTACCATCTCCCTTTGCTCAGTAAAACGGGTTGATATTGGATTAGGAGTTAAAATAAACTTACTCTCTCTTCAAACACATCATCTTTCCAGCAAATGTAATGTAAGATAATAACAAAAGAGGAACTATTTTATTCTACAGATTATGGTGATAGCAAGCTATACTGTCTCTATCTTATAACCAGAGGAAGAGATTTGATAAATATATCTCTCTTTCATGATATTTGAAACTTCTGAACAGAATAATCAATTCAAGAAGATTTCCTTCCATTCCAAATAAATTCATTTCCCAAAAACAAAAATATCACAATAATTTCCTTGACGAGACTGACAGATTGAAAAATAACATCTAAGTTATTGATCTAATGCTATATCCTTATCCATAACTAATACTACAATTTACAGTAAGCAAAATAGACAGCTGATGCTATTCATTATTTCACTTTGAAATATGTAATGAGAAATGCTATTAGCACAACTCACTCAATATTTGTTTATATCAAATATGAGAAACAATTCTTACCTCTTTTGCGTAACTGCTGAAGCTAGTAATCATCGTCATACTCTTACTGGCTTCTGTAAAACAGCAGACAGATAAACCTCGGATTTTCCCGCCTCAGATTTCTCCCCGACAACCCACTTCAGTTTTTTGAACCCGAACCGCTCGATCAAACGTGTTAAAAATTTTTTCTTCTCATCATTAGCACAATAGAAGTTATCCAACCAAAGCAAACCACCTGCCCTTAAGATCCTGTCGATATCGAACATCAGGAACTCCAACTTTTCAGGCTTCCCACCAATATCCAGTCGAGTCGAAGCGTGAACCAAATCGAACACATTGTCATAGAAAGGGAATCTATGATCTAAACTCAAAAACAGAGGAAACAAGCCTCTTGCAGCAATGAATTCACTGAATGGGGCATCAATGTTCAGAGTAGATGTGATGACTGTGACATTTTTCTCAGCCATTCTAGCAGCAAAAGTCCCAGACCCTCCTCCAATATCAAAACCTATCCTGATTCCTCCACTAGTTAAGGCTAAAACATCATCAATGGGAAAGTCATTTTTACCTCTGGCCTTAACAAATCTCTGATTCTCAAATCCACTAACCAAATCAAAGCAGCCAACACAATCCCTGCCCAATTTCTTATTATTCAGAAACTGGAAATTTTTACACCCAAGGCCACTCCACATAACAAGCTTATCGCTAACAGGTTTCCATAGAGAAGCAGGAAAAGGTTGCAGACCTACCTTGGGCACAGATTTGGCCAAGCACCTCCGCCGCGGCAAGGGCTCGCAGCCGCGCAAAATCAGCTTCTGAGCGAGGCTCCAATCGTCAGGGCAAGGTCCAGAGACCTTGTAATTCATATACTGCGACAAAAGGTCCATCGATTTCTCACACGAATGCCCCACAGATGCCACCATTTCAGTGATCCCACTCTTGGAATCCTTGCCGAGAGGGAGCGGGTGGCGGTGAAGAAAGAGTTTGAGCTCGTTAGCGACGTTGGATCTGGAGAGGTCGATGGTCTCATAGCCAAGAATCTCCTTCTCCATCTGAGCAAGCTTCTTCTGCGATACATCGATCTCTCTGAGAATCAAAGAAACCTGCTCCGAGATGAGGGAAATGTTCTTGTGGGCGGGATGAAGCGAGAGATTTTGGCGATCTCTGGGAGAGTAAGTGAAGGCGTAAATTGCAAAGAGATTGGTGGTGATTACGGAAATGAGCATGAGAATGTTGAGCACTGAAGAACAGAGAGTGGCCCTCTTGAATCTGGCGGTTCCATCTCCGATTTTCAGAGAAACGGACCCCATTGAAGCTCGGCTTCTGCTGCTTTTGCTGCAGAGTGAGTACTGAGTGAGATTCGTAGAGTGGAAGACAACAACGGGGTAGAATTGGTAATTAACAAAAAAAATGGAGGGCATTGGGGGTTTTTAATGGATTTTAAATGAGTTAGTAAAATGGAAAGTATTTTTTGGGGAAGGTGTCAACAACTAGTCTGCCATTATTACATACTAATCTGATCATGAGTCAATATTAATTTTGAACTAAGACTTAGGTCAACAACTATGAACAATTATGATGGACGATTCTATTTCAACTCACTTTTTGGTTTGATTTTTAAGTTGTAATTATATATATATTTTTTTAAAATTGAACACTAAGTATAGAAGTTCCCACCAATCTTAATCAATTAAATTATGCTAACAACTTTTAGATTAGAGATGTTACTTACCTGCTCTGAAGGGGTTGGGACTAACGGTTTAGACTCTCGTCGGGTCTATCCTGCTTTTGCTTTCTTTTTCTGACTGATTTATGAGGAAGAATTAACTTTTAATTTTGAATTTCTTTATAAAAAATGGAATAATTTCTCATGGGCCGTAGTAATCCAATCCTTGCAAGTTCTCCATCCCGTGCCTCGATCTCTGTGAAATTTTGCGAGATGGAGAATGAAATGGGGGAAGCTGTCCCGTCCTCACCCGATTACACACCTAGTTGTGTTTGATCTTTTGGTTTTGTTGAGTTCTTTTTGTTATAAAATTGGAATAGACTAAATTGAATTAAAAATATTTTTTCTTCATCTTACAAAATTAACCCTTTAATTTAGCAATTATGTTGTTGAGATGTTGGAAATTTTGATGCCCAGAGACATTGATTGTATGTTTGTTTGACTACAAAACCTTCAACATTATAACCTTTAATTAAATTTTGACCGAAAATAGGTGTCAAAAAAGTCCAATATACTAAAAATCGAGAAAAATCAAAACCAAAATCTAAGCAATCGAGTCACAAACACCATGATGATAACTATGTAAACTAAATCAATTACTTTTCAAAAATGGCTAATTTTATAATATGTGTCTTCAATTTTTGGTTTGGTCAAAAACACTAAATCAAAATCATGAATAGATACCATAATGATAACTTTTTTTAGTACAATAAATTAAAGGCATAGGAGTTTGAACCTCAACCTAAAAAACGGAATAGGTGTTAATTACCGTGGAACTATATTCACGTTGGCACTAAAAAAAAAAACTGTTCATTCAAACTAGAACACAAAAAAAATAATAATAATAAAAAAGTGTGATGGTTTTCAATCTACTTCATAGGGGCTACCATTTGAAAGAGATAATTAAAAGGCACTTCTAGTAACTTTTTAGAACCAATCATCAAAATAAACATCAAAGTATTCTAAATATCCATATGAAGAATTCTTAACTGTTTACAAAATAATGGTCTAAATCAAGTGGAGTGCAGGAGAGCTTACATCCTAGTTGAACATAAAATGCTCAAGTTCAAAGCAATATCAAGACCCCTTAAACTAGAAGAACGTCAGCACTGGGAAAAAAACAAAAACGAAAAATTCTGTTGTACCATTGAGCTCTCTCTCTTCCTCCCCAACTACCCTTAACGGTTGGCCTTTGCAACTCTCTCAATCTCATCTTTTTTCTTGATAGCGTAACTGAAAAAACAGAAAAAAAGGATTGACATGCCGTGCAAGGATGAATGGGAGATCAACAAGTAAGAGGAGATATAATCTGACCTGTTCGATGAACCCTTTGCGGCATTGATGAGCTCGTCAGCCAAACATTCTGCAATTGTCTTGATGTTTCTGAAAGCAGCCTCGCGAGCACCGGTGGTAAGAAGGTATATTGCTTGATTCACACGTCGCAGAGGGGATATATCCACAGCTTGACGCCTTACGACACCAGCTGAACCAATCCGAGTAGCGTCTTCACGGGGTCCACTGCCAAATCCCAAGTCCAAAAAACATACAGTTGAAAGAAGGAACTCACAACTGAAACATCTCGGCATTACCATGATCTTGTTCATGACACTTGACTAGAGAAACAACAACTTATTGAGGAACTCCTTCCAATAAAATTATGCTTCACAGTTTCGACAATAAAAGTTACCTAAATTAAACACTCTATGAATAGACTTCAATGGATCAAATATGTATACCTGTTAACAACAGCATCGACAATAACTTGGATTGGATTAAGATCAGTTAGTAGATGAATAATCTCCATCGCATGCTTAATAATCCTCACAGCCATTAATTTCTTGCCGTTGTTTCTTCCATGCATCATAAGAGAGTTTGTAAGTCTCTCCACAATTGGGCATTGAGCTTTCCTAAAACGCTTCACGGAATATCGACCAGCCGTGTGTGGAACATAGGTTGCATGCTTGGCAGGTGCAACTCCAACATAATCCACCAGAGAGATGTCATTAACCTGAATAATCAAACCCATGGTAACAATCATATCAGAAAAACTTGATGGCATTAAGTTTTCACCAAACCAAGTTCAAGCAAAAAGGTAAGAACCAACAAATATACACAGCAAAATAGAAATTTCGTTCGACTTCTTCACATCATAGCCATCTAAGACAAATTAGATTAAAAAACATTATGAACCCATCATTCGTCAATAGCTTTCTCCGTTACAGGCAAAGTTGAAGTTAGTTCTACATTGATTTCCATATAAAGCAGTACAAGAAACAGCCGCATTAGGGAGTTAGATAATTGAAACCTGGACATCATCAAAGGTCCAGCGATTGAAAATCTTCACATCATGGTGAGGCTGGGTCAGTTCCTGAACCACTTCGACCGCATCAGCCATATCTTTGGGAAAACAATTCAAAAGTCAGATTCAGGAGGAGAAAGATAAGCAAAGATTATTAATGAAAACACAAAAAAAGCATATTACAGCCCTACATTAAAGAACGAAACCGATAAGATTCACGAAAATATTCCGCGTAAGCCCGTGTCGAAGAAAAATAAGTAAACAATAAGTGAAAATCCTTAAACCCTAGTGTTCAAGAAATAGTGATAATACACAATCACTCAACTAAATTAATAACCTAACTTCAACTCCCACAGCAACCAAGAAAAAGAGAGATTGAAATCTAATAATGGGGCATAGGGATCATAGAACAAGCAGAAACAAATTTCAACAATAAACAGAATAATATGCAGAAACCTCGCTGTGGAACTGCAACAGCCATTGCCATTAAGCAACCATAAAAGTATTTTTTAACAAAAGAAACAGAGATGGGAAAAAACAGCGATCGACGACATTGATGGTGGATAAGAAGATAGAGAAGAAAATTGGAGAGGATTTAGGAGGAAACTTACTAAGACCGGCGGCGACGGGAAAAATGGGAAACGGAGAGAAAATGATCGGTCGGCGGCTAGGGTGAAGAGGGAAAATTTCGGAACACTGGCTTTTATGAGGGCTGGTCCGAATCGAGCGCTTTTTTTTTAGTTAATTAATTTATTTAGGGGTTAAAAAAAAAGACTTTTGGTTTGAAAGAAAAATCTAGGGTTAGTATATTTCGTTTTTAGTTTTTTAAAACAAGTTGTTTGATTACCCATTTAATTTTCTGTGTTTTGTTTTTTAAATTTAAATTACAGTTTTTTGTTTCTCCAAACTCAATTTGTAATTTAAATTTCAAAAACGTTTCCAAAAACAGTTTTGAAAATCTGATTTTTTTAATATTTTTTTTTTCATCTTTATCTCTAAAAAATTCTTTTCCACTCTAAAATTTTTTTAAACTTTCTAAATTTCACACTACAAAATTTATTTTTCCATCTCTAAAATTTTCTTACTTTGATTATTTATTATTATTTGTCTCTCTTTATCCAAAATTTTCATCTCTAGCAATTTTTATTCATTATTTTTTTCTAAGTTTCATTTTTCTATATGAAAATTTAATATTTTTCAAATTTTTCTCTCTAAAATTTCGTATTTTATCTTCCTGGTTTATTTTTTCCTCTGAAAATTATATCTTCTTTTCTCGTTCAATTTTATTTTCTTGTAATTTTTATTTATCTCTGTAATTATTTATCTAAAAATCATATTTTGAATCATGTTTTTATCTCTGAATTTGATGTGCAGATGATTCCGTAAGTGGCTTATTTGAAAAAATATTTTTTGGACGTTTTTGTCCCTTTCTTAATATATTAATTTACAAATTCTGCCATTAATAATTTATTATAAATATTAAATAAATTATTATTATTAATTATCAATAATAGTAAATGTATATATTAGAATGGAAAATGTTAGAATAAAAAGTTACACCATAAAATTATAATCTTTTCTTTAATTACATATTCATATTAGAATTTCAAAAATTTTGTAACACTTTATCCCCTACTAGGAAAAAACATCATTTCTTTCACTAATTTTTCACAACACTTAGTTTTATCAAAACATTGCTCTCAAATATTATTCAATCTAAAAAACATCTCAAAATCATATTGGTGGCATCTTCATCAAGTTGCAGATAACAAGGCTTGCAACGTTATCGTTCCATAATTTATGAAGTTAAATAATAGTGATTGTCAAGCATGAGCATATTTGAGCATATTTTATATTAGTATATAGCTAAAGTTTGATTTTTTTTTTGTTACTATTGTTTTTTATTTATTTTTTTTATAATTAGTGTATTCATGTATTTAGAATGTTTTTTTTAGAAAATGATAATGTATTGATCCATTATCATGTTGATTTTGTTGAAAAAAAAAATCATGTAAGGACATCAAAAGAAATTTTCACTAATTGTAAATAGACATCAAAAAAAAATCATGTAAGGACATCAATATTAAATTAATAAATTAATTATCAACAATAATTTGTATGAAATTTAAAAAGTTGGAATAGATAACTTTTGGTCTCTTCGTTTCTCAATCGTTTTAATTATAATATGAAGCTAAATTAGTATAAATTAAAATGTTTAATATCTATATCTATATATTAAAATTGGAGGATCTTAAAAAACATTTTTATACTATTATACCATTTCTTTAATTATGACATTTGAGGAAAAATTAATTGTAAATAGTAAATTAATTAATTAATTATAAATAATAAATATTTACTTAATTATCAACCATGACAATTACCAGAAATAAAAAAGTTAGAACCGGTAAAAGGTTGTTATTTAATTTATAAAAGTTTAATTATTTTTACTAATAACAATGAACAATAGAATTTCGTAGAATTCTAAAAGATCTGTAACATTTTCTTCCACTATTTTTCACCAATATTCAAGCTACATTTTTCATTATTTTTAGTTCTATCTCATTTTTTTGCTTTCAAAATCTGTCTAATCTTCAAAGTAACTCAAGACGTACATGATACGTTCAAGTTCACACGAAATTTATATATCAAAGTTATATCTTGATTTGTAAGTTACTTTGATAAAGTTAAATAATGATATTTGTGTAATAAGGGCAATCTATATTCAAGAATTTGTGTGTTGATTTAGTTTTTAATTTTTTTTAGTTTTGATACTATAGTTTTGTTTTTGTTATTTTACAATTGCTATATTACTATGTATTCTTTTTATATTTGTTAATTTTGTTTTATAATTAGCATTATTACATTAATTTATACTATCTATATCTATATTTGGCTATGGAAGAAAATCTTTACCTCCCCATTTTGCCCTCAACTTTTTAACATATACCCAATTTACTCTTCAAATTCTACGAGAGACGACTGTTAAACGAGGTGTCTATTGAGATAAATTAATCTAAATGAATTGTGACTATTCGACAAACAATGCATCCAATTCACGTATAAGTATGATTGCAAATTAATATAAATGAGGTGTCGGTTGAGAGAAGCAGTGCATCCATTCACATATGGGTGTGATCAATCTAGAGGTATGAAGACGAAATAATGAGTCTATTCCCTTACAGACTATTTATAAAAGGAAAGAAAAATAAGTCATGATACATCAAAATTTGTATTTTTTAGTTCTCCCAAAATACAAAGGTTTTTCTTTTAAAAATTTCAAAAAATAATGAAAATTAAAAGTTTTATTTCTTCGTAGGGAAATATTGAACCTGTCCAAATAGATTTGCAAATGCATAAATTAATTTTAGACGATGAAGAGGTAAAATAAAAAATTATATTTAATATACCAATTTATCCCCTTTGATTGTTGTTTTCATGATCTTGACTATTTTGGATTTCTTATTTTATATTTATACTTTTTTATTAATTAATTTGAATTTATAAATTGATGTGAAATTTTTGTATATAATTTCACAAGTGTATTGTTTTCTAAATTGAGTGATTATTGACGCCTGACTTTTGAATTCCTATAAAATTAAATTTAATGTTTGTATTTATCTGTTTGATTATTGTTAACTTTTAAATTTCTTATTTTATATTTAAATTTCTTTTATTAAAAACAAGTTTTGTTGATTTAAATGGAGCTATACTTTAACGAAAAACTTTTAATGCAAGAGATGGTTTTCAGTTCCACCAAACTTCAACTAAAATTAAAAAAATTAAACAATAAAATCTTAAATGAGAGTAGAAAGAGAGACGATTATGAAAATTACAAAAAAAAAAAAATCATATTTATCTCTATTTACCATTCTTGTTTTAATAATCTTAACTAATTCTGTATTTCTTATTTTATATATATATATATATATATATATATATATATTTTATTTTGTGATAGTGATATATTAGGAATATTTGGTTTATTAAATTGAGGTAGGAGCGATCGTTGTTTTCTTATTAAATCATCGGATGATCAAAGTTGTCCCTCCTCACATAAAAAAAATATTGTTTATAGAGAGATTCTTCTTTAATCAATGTTTAATTTATAATTTATTATATACTTATGTAATATTTTTTATGTTAACCTATAAAATTATTATTAAATATATTTATCTTATTTTCTTCATAAATCAAACTATTCACAGAAGACTAAACAATTACCTGAAGTAATGAAGTAATAATTTTACTTTAGAACTTTTATTTGAATTACATTACATGTAATTAAATTTTAATTATCTACATGATCTGTATCCTTTTTTTTCCTTTTTTGTTTTTTTAATTCATGTCAAAATATTTCATATTTAAACTCAATAAAAATTTATTTATTCAAATTTTAAATTTCACAAAATATATATATATATATATATATATATATATATATATATATATATATATATATATATATATATATATATATTCAAAAGATTTGAAATCAGGTGCAATTAATCACTAGTATATATAAAAGGAGCTGTATAGGGAGAAATTTTATCTCCCTATTATACCCTTTAATTTTAAATTTTTATTTATTTTTTATGACAATTTTGTCAATTGCCATGAAAATATAAAAGTGTTTTGTCAATTTTTTTTTAAAATAATTATAAATTTATAACTATATTAAAAATATCTACCATCTTTTGTAAAATGTATTAATTTAATTTAAATCGTAAAATGTAATCTAAAGAGTTTTGTTTTAACCCAAATTAATCAAATAATTATAACCTTTAATTATATTTAAATTTTTAATATAAAATATTTTAGAATTTCAAGAGTTTTGCACCTCTTTCATTTTCCACCGCTATAAATTTCACTCTTTTTGCACAATGATTTGAACTATATATATGTACATACAGGCATATGTATGGATATGTATATGTGTGTGTATGCATATTCTTTACTCTTCTTTGTCTCTAGATTTTTTTTTTCTCCCAAATCTATCTTTTGCACTCTCAAAATATTTTCACCAATCACCTTTAAAATTTTCTAACTTTTCATTCTCATTCTTGCAGTCTCATTTGATATTATTAACATTTTCA